ATATATATATATATATATTTTAACTTTCTTTTAAAATAATCCAAATCAAATTCAAATCTATCCTAAATTATCTTACTAAATAAAAATACTTTTTCTTTATTACAGAGAGAATTGAGAACATCGAGATAAAGAATCGAACGGACCTTAACGTCTCTCTCGTAAGATAAATCCATGGTATGCGCAATACTGGAATTGAAGTAGCCTTAAAATTATATAGCGCAAAGACACGGGTATACGATACGATTCCCTTCATCGATAACACGATCGAATCGATAATCAGGAAACGAATTAACATCAATTAGAACGAACTTTACAAGTTTAACCGAATCGATAGGAGCCACTCCTTGAGCTGAAGTACATCATTCTCTGGCGAACGTACAAATCGCGCGATACGACCGTTTTCCAATCAGTAAGCTCATTCATTGACGGTCTAATTAAACCTGTTCCCCGATCCACCGAAATTCTCTGCATTCCAGGTGTAATCGGTTTAATCATTTACGCGGCGCTGTACTACACTCTACTTAATTCTATGCGAGTCCTTCAAGTCCAACCATGGCACGGCGGCTGTCTACCGCCCCTAATTCAACGTATAAATCTCTCTCACCTGTTATTTATTATTTTCATGAATATGCATTTCTTTCACCGCCTGCTAATGGACCCCTGAGGCCATGGCGTGTTAGAAGTGTTGCGCGCAACAGCGTGCAGTTAAACGGATTTGATTAATCGAAAAACTTGATCGAATCCCTCTTTCTTTATCCCGCCGATTTATTATATTTTCCTTTCATATTAATATTATTTATGTTGTAGGTTGCAGAATTTGTTTATCGTTGAAATGGAGGAACATCAGATACATTGAGAAAAACGTTTGCAGGGGAAGAAGATACTCTTCGTATTAATAAATAAAATTATGGATATTTGGATGGCAGTAGGATGGTGTTCAAGCGTTGGAGCAAGTGTGGAGGGGCATCTATCATTTCACGACCCATTAAAAATTTAACGCGAGGTGGAGAAATGGCGGGTTACGGAACGCTTGATTTTAATAAAAATCCCGGACATCGGGTAAAAATGCCATCGATCTTTCGTGGATTGGTAGAGATACACCACGTGAAAAGCGAAATTACATAATATCGACCGTATGTTTGGTAAATTTGACGTTCCAATGCTTGATAATTATCAAACGGATAATTTATGAATGAAGGAATAAAAATGGATGAATGATAATTAAATGAATGGATAGAATAGATTATTTATATTACTTGTATTATTGCGTTAATATTATTGCAATTACACGGAATTTCTTGTACACTCGAAAAAATTCAAACAAGATATAGATAGAAGATTGTGTAGAACATTGTGCGTGCACTTGAGAATTGAACCATTGACAAATACAGTCTTCGAAGAATCTGTTTGAAAGAGATAACGCGTATCAATTGATATAGCAATATCAAATTCCCGATTGGCATGAATTACATACGGTTTATCGGTACAGTTCGTACAGTTGTTGCATACAGTTTGTCATGGGTAATTTTTTGACTCGTTTTAAACATTTTTTCTCAACCGACCATATCCTTGACGAGGAGACGATCGCCACTTACGTAGAGTTAACATATTTGAAGAAGAACGAAATACAGCAGTAAGTATTTATTTACGTATGGTATATTATTCGAAAGTGAAGACTTTTAAATTTTTAAAGGAAAAGTGTGATGATTTTTTTCTTTGTTCGATCGATTCCTCAGCGTAATCAATCTACTCGACAATGTAAATCCTGGAAAACTTCGTCAGAATCCTCATCATCGGTTCACCATTGAGGAAATCGAGACAATATTGCCGCAACTTCAAGTAAGTTAATTCATATCGACAGTATTTTTAAATATATTTTTTCATTGGTTATAATATATATAATATTATTATATTATTATATTATATTACGTTAGAATATATCTTTGAACCAATGAAAACCAATGAAAAAATCTATTATATTATTAATTATATATATATAAAATTATATTGTACATATAATATAATATATATTATATATATA